CGCCCAGCTAATTTTTTATATTTTTAGTAGAGACAAGGTTTCACCATGTTAGTCAGAATGGTCTCAATCTTCTGACCTCATGATCTGCCCTCCTCAGCATCCCAAAGTACTGGGGTAACAGGTGTGAGCCACCGCACCCAGCTGGGAAAGACAATTATTAAATTATTAAAAGGAAGTAACATCTGGGGAGGGAGTTTAGGTTGCTCAATTGGTTGCTCTCTGGTAGACTAAGAGGACTGCTGCAGCATCAGCAGGCTGTGGGGAAGAATGCACGACTTGATAAAACTGTGTTAAGGAGACTTGCTTAAGAGCTATTGAATCAAGCTGGGCAGGAGGAAAGCACAGATAGAGACAGGAGTGACTGGCAAAGAATCTTATGAAGGCTAAGGTCTGTTTTGTTTTTGTTTTTAAATCCTTATTGGGGCCAGGCTTGGTGGCTCACGCCTGTAATCCTAACACTTTGGGAGGCTGAGGCGAAAGGATCCTTTGAGCTCCCAAGTTTAAGACCAGCCTGGTCAACATGGTGAAACACGTCTCTACAAAAAATACAAAATGAGCTGAGTGTGGGGGCATGTGCCTATGGTTCCAGCTATTCAGGAGGCTGAGGTGGGAGGATGGTTTGAGCCTTGGAGGCAGAGGTTGCAGTGAGCCAAGACTGCGCCACTACACTCCAGCCTGGGCGACACAGCCAGACCTTGTCTCAAACAACAAAAAAATCCCCTAGTGCTCTTCCTAATGCTTTTCCATTTTGTTAGGAATGGGAAGAAGAAAGGAAATAACTGGCTAAGTGACTACTCTGTCAACCGTGGTTACAAGGCATTTTCCAACATTATTTCAATGTTAAGGAAAGCTGCTCATGAAATTAGGTTCACTGGGCCACAGTTTTCAGATGAGGAACCTAGGAGAGGTGAAGGGACAGAATTGGAACCCCGCTCTGTCAGACCACAGATACCCCACCTGTTCTACACTGGCCTGTTAATTTATAATGAAATTACTGTCCTCACAAAATTCCCATTTCTTCATACCACTAGAAACCCTTTCTCAGATTTGGGAGTACATAAATAGATTAGGTGATTTCTAATTTTTTTTTTAAGACAGAGTATGCGATATTACTCTGTCACCCAGGCTGGAGTGCGGTGGTGTGATTTTGGCTCACTGCAACCTCCGCCTCCTGGGTTCAAGCAACTCTCCTGCCTCAGCATCCCGTGTAGCTGAGACTGCAGGAATGCGCCACCATGCCTGGCTAATTTTTGTATTTTTAGTAGAGACGGGAGTTTCACCATGTTGGCCAGGCTGGTCTGGAACTCCTGACTTCAGGTGATCCACCCACCTCAGCTTCCCAAAGTGCTGGGATTACAGGCGTGAGCCACCACACCCGGCCCGATGATTTTTTTTTTTTTTTTAATTTAGTCTTGTTCTGTTGCCAGGCTGGAGTGCAGTGGGGCCATCTTGGCTAACTGCAACCTCTGCCTCCCCGGTTCAAGTAATTCTCCTGCCTCAGTCTCCAGAGTAGTTGGGATTACAGATGCCTGCCACCATGTCCAGCTAATTAAAAAAAATATTTTTAGTAGAGACGGGGCTTCCCCATGTTGGCTAGACTGGTCTTGAACTCCTGACCTCAAATGATCCCACTGCCTTGGCCTCCCAAAGTGCTAGGATTACAGGTGTGAGCCACCTCTCCTGGCCCAATAATTTTAAATAATTACTTTTATTTTATTATCATTTTTGAGACAGGGTCTCTGTTGCCCAGACTGGAGTGCAGTGGTGCCAACTTAGCTTACTGCAACCTCCGCCTTCTGGGTTCAAGTGATTCTCCTGTCTTAACCTCCCAAGTAGCTGAGACTACAGGCATGTGCCACCATGCTCAGCTAATTTTCCTATTTTCAGTAGACACAGGGTTTCACTATGTTGGCCAAGCTGGTCTTGAACTCCTGGCCTTAAGTGATCCACCTGTTTTGGCCTCCCAGAGTGCTGGTATTACAGGTGTGAGCCACCACGCCCAGCCTAAATAATTACTTTAAAATACAGGATCATAGGCTGGGTGCAGGGGTTCATAAACGTAATCCTAGCACTTTGGGAGGCCGAGGCGGGCGGATCACGAGGTCAGGAGATGGAGACCATCCTGGCCAACATGGTGAAACCCTGTCTCTACTAAAATACAAAAAATTAGCCAGGCGTGGTGGCGAATGCCTCTAGTCCCAGCACTCAGGAGGCTGAGGCAGGGGAATTGTTTGAATTTCACTGCACCCCGGGCTGGAGAGCAGTGAGCCGAGATCAGGCACTGCACTCCAGCCCGGGGACAGAACAAGGCTGTCTCACCAAAAAAAAAAAAAAAAAAAAAAAAAAAAGAAGATCCTCTAGCCCAAATCCATCACACTAGCAGTTGGAGAAGCTTGAAAAGGTTAGATAACAGGCCCATGCGGCTTGTCGGTGGAAAGAGCTAGGCTGTAAGACACCTCTGACTCCATTGTTTTCTCTTACTCTCCTAAGACTTTACACCATTAAAGATAGTATTATTTGGTGGGGCACGGTGGCTGGTTCACGCCTGTAATCCCAGCACTTTGGGAGGCGGAAGTGGGCGGATCAACTGAGGTAAAGAATTCGAGACCAGCCTGGCCAACATGGCAAAACCCTGACTCTACAAAAAA